TTATAAAGTTTTATATTTGCTTGGTTCTTTAGTTTTTCTCTAACGTGAGCTGATATGACTCTAGCAACATCTTCATGCTTTCATAGGACAGTGAGGCTGTTTGAAATAAATATCAAAGTGGGGGTCACGCTTTGAAAGTGTGCAGGGGAGGTTTACTTTTATGTGCCGTCCGTCTKCACGTCCAAGTCATTGCCCAGCACCCGCAACTGGCAGCTTGTGACATTTCAGCTGCTTTGTCTCCTCCCTGAGAGGTTTCTGGTCYCTGGAGAATTAATTTTATTTCAGGCCTTAAATGACAGCCATTGAGATGTGTAGGCRTAGCGGGAGGGGATAAAGCCACAGAAAGAGTGTGGTGTGACATTAAACAAGAGGTCAGGGAGACATAAAACGATGCTCTAAATGTCAAAAGCTTAAATAAAACAGAGGTTTAATGTTGGGTGACTCACGAAGAAAAGTCTCACTTAAATGCAGTCAATGGAAAAGTCAGTGTTGAGACTTTTGTTTTTCAGCTTGATTTTTTTTAAACAAACCCCATATTTAAGTACCTCTGTATTTTCTTTCTGACAGTGATATGAAAAGACATGGAAAGTTTTCAGCTCCTTCAATGCTGAACTCTCATAAAACACAAATCCTAATCAAGACTCCATCATCTTGGAAGTCAAAAGGATCATTTGCTGATTGCACAAAAAGTATTAACATCAACACGGCTGTCAGGAAAGAAAACAGTGGGACAAAACTAAATAAATGGACTATTGAATTAGTTTGTGTTGTTCGTGTAAAAGAATATTCTGTTAAGAATCTTCAAGTGCTAATTTTCATTCAYAAACTCAGATTGTTTTTATATCTTATTTTCTTCAAGTCTTTCAGGTTCAGATTTGGCTAGCCTARCCTAGCTAATTGGCTAAGCTTTAACAATAAAATGATTTATTGTGTTTGTAACAATGACAGAAAACAATATGAGAAAAATAAAGCAGAGAAATTATAGCTTCTCCAATAATAGAGAGGAGAAACTCTGTGTTTCCAACACAAAGCCTTTTACTCCTCTTCAGAGCAGGTGGCTGCAGGCCACAGACAACAAGGTTATATGTTAATGAAGGTGGGAACACACACAATCTGCATAATCACATAAACACATGAGTTTGTATTTCTATCCTTGTTAGGACTTTAGATTTACTTCTATTCATTTCTGTTGCCCAACTCTGACTSTAAACCTTATCATGACCAGTAACCAAAACAAATCTAAACTTAGTTTACAACTTTACACGGTAAACGCCAACTGAACAACCAAACCCAAAAAATATGGAGCTAAAAAAGTCTCAATWTTCACAAATGCACGCACAGAGGACAGGATCCTCATGTGCACAGGTCACAATATTTTATTTTTTATTTATTTTATTCTTTTATTTTATTGAAAAAAAATCTATAAAGAGTAAAATAAAAAGTAAATCATGTCCTGAATGAAAAGGGTGCAGAGTAACGAAGATAATCTTACAACATCTGCCTCAAACCTATTACCAATTAGCATTTATTTAGTCTTAATTTAAAACGAAGTTTGTATTTTCACAAATTCTGCCTGTGTCATCTCCAATGTCCATTTAATATCTTTAGTCAAACAAAAACAAATGTGGTATCATCTGCAAATAAAACATATTTTAAAGCCCTCACACACTAACCAATTCATTCACTTATAAAGTAAACAATTTTGGTCCAAGCACAGAAACCTGAGGAATTCCACATAAGTCATTCACAAATATACCATGATTTGCAAACTGCATATATATTTATGTGTGCATAAGAAATGCATGTTTGAATCTTGTTGCATGCACATGTGAATCATGTGTGCGCATTTGTGAATTTTGAGACTCTGTTAGCTCCATACAAAATGTATATCACCAAAAAAACCAGCACTTTGGTTCCCAAATGTACTAAAAAGGTAAGAAGACCCAGTTATGGACACACACACACACACACACACACACACACACACACACACACACACACACACACACAGAGAGAGAGAGAGAGAGAGAGAGAGAG